CCAGAGGCTGCCGTTTGGTTGGCACGGGTTCTCAGGGGACGGATGAGAAGCTCTGGCTTGGTCGTCCGGGTGAGTGGAATCGGGGGTGTTAAATGATCTTCGAAACTGGCGGGGAGGCAGGCTGTTGTTCAATGTCCGATGATCCACGGGAACGCCGGCATGGGCCTTTGGATTGAAGCACTCTAGTTATCATCACCTAAGGATGCCACCTGGCCCTCATAAGTACACAGCGACTTCTGACGGAGAAAACGAAGCGGAGATGTGGGACCCACGCAACTATGGTCCCTTCCTTCTGGGTTTTAATAGCATCCGTGACAAAAGGGAAGCCAGTGGTAGTGAAGGTCAACTGAGGGAGGGGCAGAATCACGTTGAATGGAAACGTTCCAAACATGCTGGAAACGATGAGCATCAAGATTGTCCGGCCTTGGTAAATTTTCGGTTAGGGATCTGGTCTGCGAATGACTTCACAAGGTGGAGTATCTACGTATGGGGACGTCAGAAACTGTGCCCACCCTCTTTTGCCAACACTCCCTGCCTCTCCGCTTAGTTATCGCTCTCGCTTGCATAGTCGGTGGTCCGTCCCCGCGCCCCCCCACCTCGCGGTTTCTCTAGTATCCATGACTCTCCTTCTGCCTCACCGGTTCCACATTTCCGCCACTCTCGAATGTGCGCTCAAACATCCGAGGCAATTGTGGACCAGGCAATAATCCCTAATCCAAGGGTGGACTATTTCAGATAGTGAGGGTTACTGCATGGGGTGCGGGGGAGTTAGGGTGTGAAGAAATCGTATACATCAACGTCAGATACAGATTCGGAGCCGGCCGACAGACTTTAAGACCGAACTGGAGGCTACTAGGTTCTTGGAGGGACGGACGATGAATTGAATGCTCTTCCAACCCAGCAGTTCGAGGTCAAACAACTGCGTACAAGGCCGTCCCTCAGAGCAACCAATAAATACTCGTCCGATCGTGATCGTGATCGTGCGGTTAAGATGTGATTGAATATCCATCTGATGTGAATAATCTGGACCGTTATAACTCTCGATCAGACGGTCGCGATTTATTCACTTAAGTGAGTATTTAGGCACGTGGTTGATCTCTGATCGCGTGGACCTCGATTCTACGTGATCTACGAACGCTATTTGTCACGATGTCGATCGGACGTACGAGATCACGCCACGCGTCATGCACATAAGAAAACTAAGGGACTTTAGTCCCACACGGGAAAAACAAAGGAGTATATTCGGGTATATAAGATATGACGATTAAGAGGGATTAATACTTTGTCTTCCGATAATTGGAAAACCTATATACTTTATTAAATAAATATATATACTAAATATAAATACACCACATGTCACATCAACGCCACGCAGGCACCCGCGTGCTGTCTACGTGGCAGAGCCACGTGGCCCCGAGTACCACGTCGCATCCACGTGTACATGCGCGACATATAACCCCTTTCTGAGATTTTTTAATTAATTTAAAACATTTAAAAATCCAAAATAAATATAAATAAATTCAGAAAAAATCCAGAAAATTCTATAAAATTGTAAAAATCATAACTTTCAAAATACGACTCCAAATTAATTCAAATTTGTTTTGTTGGATTCAAAATTGAATAATCTATCATTAAAATAAGAAGAGAATAAATTTTAATTAATTTTATACATTTATTATTATATAAAATAAATTTATATAAATACATAAATGTTAATAAATATCTTTTCTCTCATATTTTCACTCTTAAAACATGATTATGATCATAAATATAATTAGGATTAAAGATTGTAATGTGTAATTATTTATAATAATCCATAATTTGGTGTATTTTAAGATCATAACATGAATTTACACAAAATGATAGAAATATACTTAAAATATGATAACATGCATATATTTGTAATGATTAATGCCTAAATTTGCATTAATAATTATATAATTACATGCATAAATAGCATGTTATCACACCCCCCAACTTGAATAATTGCTAGTCTCTTAGCAATTCACTAGGTAATCTCCTTAGAAAGTCTTATCATCCCTTGATCCTACAACTAAAGAAGTGAAGTGTATCAATGTGTGATCAACTTTTCATCATAGTGTGGACCATGGTGATCTAGATTCCATAACTAGGTTGACTTCCTTAGAGCATATTAGGGTAGTGCTCATCAGCTAATAGTCAAGTCATTACTCAAGTGTAATCGAGGTGAGCACATCTAAGGTTTGATGCTATGGGAATGAAAAGATTCTCACACTCTCATGAGCAGATGTAATCCTCACCTCTCTAGTTCTCACATCACTCTTTCACTCATTTGGAGGCTACTTGGTGCATTAGAATTCCCCTCAACTCTTCTTTCTCCTTTAAAGAGTGCATTGCAAAAGGATTTTCTATTTTAGGATGCATCGTTATAAGGTAGTTGAAAGAGTAAAAAGACACTATTTCTAAAGGAATAACTTGGTTAAAAGCAAATATCAGCATATAAACAAATTGGATATTATATACAAAGAAAAGGTACCACTGATGTCTAATTATTCTTTCAAATGATGTGGATGATGGTGGTAGATAAGGATTGATAGAAAGTGGTAGAGATGGTGTGGAGTGGTAAAATTGATATATACATTGGAAATGGAATGAAGGTAATGGGTAGAGATAGGTATTTGCATGGTAAAGATAATTTCCCATATTGTTCTCCTTCTTTTCACTTTCTTATTCCTCTCTTTCTTTTCTCCTCATTTTCTTTCCTTCTTTCTTTTTGTCTTCTTCTTTTCTTCATTTCATATTTGCTTCTCTTTTTCTTCTTCTCTTCTTTCTTCTTTTTATATAGGGTAACTTTTTGGAGAAGAAGAAGATAACATTTGAAGACTTTGCATAAAACAAGGATATGAAGGTTGTCTTGATGTTTGAAGAGAGTATTCGAAATTTTGAAGTGTGATATGAAGGAATATTTGCTTGTAAGAGAAATTGTGAAGAAGATGGATGGCTTGTATAGATAGTGGAAAAGAAAATGTGGTGGATATGTTTATCACTTGGGAGGGTAATTATAATCAGTGAAGCTGAAATTTGGGTGTCTAATTGACTGGTATAGAAAAGGTAGAACTAAATGCCTAAAGGATAGAATAGGTGCATCAAAAATTATGACACATTGCACTCTTCTAGGAGAAAGTTCGGAAGCGAGAAATTCTTACACCAAGCAGGTTCGGCTGATGTAAGGTAGGGGATAGGAATTTGCTTGAACTTCACTCAAAATCTCTCCTTTTCAATCTAATAGCACTTCAACCTCTAATTACTCATTTTCCTCGGTGCCTGCTAAATACCCAACCCCGAAGAAGTCAACCACTAAAAAGAATCCATGGTTTCTCTAGATCACTTGGCTTTATTACTCAAAATGTAATCACATGAGCTATGAGGCCCTCACTTCTACATATCTAGGAATAGGATCTCAAAATGTTTAAGACTTCTAAGGTGTTTAAAAGTAGTAAAAATTTGAAAAATTTTGAAAATTGAAGTTTTTCTACATCCTCACCCCCCAACTTAGATCTTTCATTGCCCTCAATGAAACCATTATGTATATTAAAAAGATGGCAACACTATCATACATTACATGAAAAAGATTATAAATTGAAATGAGAAGTAAAAAGGTTTAGAAAAACTCATTTATGCGTGTTGACGCATATCGCTGGAATTTGTCCAAATTGTTTGTTGTTGTAGGTGGATTCCTCCAACTATGTATGTACATTGATATAACTACAAACAAGAACTAAATAAAACAGTAAGATAATCTTGGGGTGCCTCCCAAGAGCGCTAAGTTTAACGTCTTCAGTTAGACAAAACTTAGTGAACTACAATGATCGATGAGATGAGGGTGTTACCTTTATCACGTCCTCATGTACCTCGGGGAGATGCAGATTTACCTTATCTGCTGGTGTGGGTGACTCTGCTGTAAGGTAGGGCTTTAGACGATGCCCATTTACCTTGAATTGTTTGCCAGATTTAGGGTCAGAAATAAGCACTGATCCGTTGTCAAACGATTCCACAACCACATACGGACCGTCCCATCGTGAGCGCAGCTTACCTGGAAAAAGCTTAAGGCGAGAGTTATATAACCAAACCTTTTCATTGACGTTGAAAGTTCTTCTTCTGATGTTCTTGTCATGAAAGGCCTTGGTCTTTTCTTTGTAGATCTCCGCGTTCTCGTACGCGTCACGCCTTAACTCCTGTAATTCCTGCAGCTGGAGAAGTCTATGTTTACCTACTTCGTCTAGAGATAGGTTGAGCTTCTTTATTGCCCAATAGGCTCTATGCTCGAGCTCAACTAGCAGATGGCACGCCTTCCCAAATACGAGTCGGAACGGAGACATCTCGATAGGTGTCTTGTAAGCCGTTCTATACGCCCATAATGCATCTGGAAGCTTGTGCCCCCAATCCTTACCGTCTGGTCGAATGATCTTCTTTAAAATATTCTTGACCTCTCGGTTGCTCACTTCAACTTGCCCATTAGCTTGGGGGTGGTACGGTGTAGTGACGCGATGATGTACTCCATATTTCTTCAATAATGCACGAAAGTGTGCATTGTTGAAGTGCGAGCCTCCATCACTGATTATGGCCCTCGGACAATCGTATCGGGAGAAGATGTTTCTCGTTACAAACTTGAGTACTTCCCGATGAGTGTTTGTCCTAGTGGAAATAGCCTCCACCCACTTAGACACATAATCAACCGCTACCAAAATATATTCTTTCCCATCAAAAGGTGGAAAAGGTCCCATAAAGTCGATCCCCCATAAATCAAATATCTCCACTTCAAGGATAGGCCTCATTGGCATTTCATCTCGCTTGGAGATGTTTAATGCTGCCTGGCATTGTAAGCACTCTATATAGAAACGGTGGGCATCCTTGAAGATGGTGGGCCAATAAAAACCGCTTTGTAAAATCTTATCTGCTGTCTTTCGCGCGGCAAAATGTCCTCCACACGTTGATGAGTGACACATCGATAATATGCTTCCTTATTCTTCTTCTGCTACGCATCGCCGTATAATTTGATCGTATCCTATATGGAACAAAAGTGGTTCTTCCCAATAATAATATTTGAGTTCATGGAAGAACTTATCTTTACGATGCCGGTTCCAATGATCTGGGATCGATCCTGTCACTAGAAAATTGACGATATGCGCGAACCAAGGAGCATGACTAGATACTGCAAGAAGATGCTCATCAGGAAAAGAATCACTAATATCTCCCGTACCTGAAATGTGAAGACGAGATAGGTGATCCGCCACCGAGTTTTCGCTGCCCTTCTTATCTCTAATCTCCAAGTCAAACTCTTGAAGAAGTAGCACCCATCGTATCAATCGTGGCTTCACCTCCTTCTTAGAAAACAAGTACTTTAACGCTGCATGATCTGTATAAATAACAATCTTGCTTCCCAAGATGTAAGGCCTGAACTTCTCTAACGCGTAGACCACCGCTAAGAGCTCCTTTTCTGTCGTCGTGTAATTCATTTGAGCTTCAGCAAGGGTCTTACTCGCATACCATATAGCTGTTGGCTTCTTATCTATCCGCTGTCCCAACACCGCTCCAACTGCATAGTCTGAGGCGTCGCACATGATCTCGAAAGGCAAGTCCCAATTAAGACTTTGAAGAATTGGTGCTTCGATCAAGGCGAGCTTCAACATCTCGAATGCGCACTCCCCTTCTTTATCTATAAAAAAGTCTTTATCCTTGCAAAGAAGAGTGGTTAGCAGTTTGGAAACTTTAGCAAAATCTCGTATAAACCTGCGGTAGAAACCAACGTGTCCTAAAAAACTACGTAAATCTCGTAATGTAGTGGGGAGAGGAAGGTTTTGAATGACCTCAATCTTGGCCTTATCAACCTCCAAACCTTTGCCCGAGACAAGATGCCCAAGCTCTACTCCCTCTCGCACCATAAAATGGGATTTCTCCCAACTCAATACCAGTCGTTTCCACGCAGACCTCGAGGATCTTTGTCAGGTGAGTTAGACAGCTGTCGAAATCATCTCCAAAGACAGATAAATCGTCCATCAAAACTTCGAGACTGTCGCCAAGGAAATCGGCAAATATCGCCGTCATACATCTCTGGAATGTCGAAGGGGCGTTACACAATCCAAATGGCATTTGCCTAAATGCGAACGTGCCAAAGGGACATGTGAACGTCGTCTTTTCTTGATCGTCCGGATGAATCGCAATCTGGTTGTACCCTGAATAACCATCCAAGAAACAAAAGTAAGTCTGACCTGCTAGTCGATCAAGGATTTGATCGATGAATGGCAACGGGAAATGATCTTTCTTCGTCGCTGCATTCAACTTCCGGTAGTCGATACAAACTCGCCACTTCGTCGAGAGGCGTGTTTGAATCTCCTCTCCTTTGTCGTTCACAGTCACTGTAACTCCTGCCTTCTTGGGAACCACGTGCACGGGACTAACCCACTGGCTATCCGATATGGGATAGATAATCTCTGCATTAAGCCACTTAAGAATCTCTTCCTTAACGGCTTCCCATACCTTAGGATTAAGTCGGCACTGGGCTTCCCTTACGGGTCTGAACTCGTCCTCCAAGAATATGCGATGAGTGCATAATGAAGGGTCTAATCCCCTCAAATCTGCTAGAGTCCATCCGATTGCTTGCTCATTCCGTCGTAATACGTCGAGTACTCGTTTCTCCTGCTCCTCATTGAGCTGGGAAGAAATGATCACTGGTTTAACCTGCTGAGAGTCAAGGAAAGCGTACTTGAGTGTAGATGGAAGAGGCTTGAGCTCCCCTGTCGGATCGTCCAACGGTAGCTCCTCGAAATCAGCTCCCTCGTTGACCGTCATGACTTCTTCGATGCAAGTCTCTATGTCTTGATCATCAAATAGGTCGATGGCACCCAAATCCTCGAAAGCTTGTGAAGGATACTTCATCAACTTGTTGATGTTGACCTTCACCGTATGCTCTCCCACCTTAAGAATCACTTCTCCTTTTCCCCAATCTGTAACGGCTTTTGCAGTAGCTAAGAAAGGTCTTCCTAGGATAATTGGGGCTTGACTAAGCTCCTTAGTGATCTTCATATCTACAACTAGGAAGTCTACCGGAAAATAACATCCTTCTATTCTAACAATCACATCTTCTACTATGTCATGAGGCTTCCTTACCGATCCATCCGCTAAACATAACTCTATAAGAAAAGGCTGCAATTCCTCTACATGATGACGGTCATATACGGCTTTAGGGAGGATATTGATACTAGCTCTAGTATCTAACAACGATCTAGTAAAAATCATTCCTCCAATCTCACTCGTAATCATGGGAGCTCCTGGATCTCTCTTTTTAATAGGAAGAGAATTCATCATAATGGAACTAATATTCTCACTCAATTGGATCCTCTTGGGGCTTCTATGGTGTGTGCATATGCCTTTAAGAAATTTAGCATAAGAAGGTATATACCTAATTGCATCTACTAAAGGGATGGTAATGGTAACTTTTTGGAAGGTTTCTAATAAATGATCATCAGATTCACTAACCTTAGCCTTAGGCTTACTCAATGCTTGAGGATATGGCACGGGTGGTTTGTATGTGTCTGGATTTGGCTCAACTTGCACCCGTTCTTCCTCATCATCGGAACTACTATCTGGCTCTATTACGACTGTCGGTGTCTCATCATCTATCGAGCTCTTATGTAAAGGATGATCCTTGTAAGGATCAGGTAAATCCTTGCCGCTCCTAAGGCTCGATATCGCTAATGCCGCTTTCACTTCCTCCTCGTCAACATGCACATGACTCAGATTGTGCGTTTGACTCGATGAGGACCCTTGATTCCTCGGGTTGATAGTGGCTTGTGATGGTAATTGGTCAGAAAATGAAACTTGCTTACCCTTCTTATTCACAGTCGAGGTAGGGATGTTCGTCTTGACGAAATCCTGTATCTCGTCCACACACGAGTTCATCCTGCTCATTTGCTCCATCAACTGAGAGAGCGCACCCAGAATCGGATCTGCAGATGGTGCGGTCGGTCGTGGAGCTTGGTTGTACGACTGCTGTGGTGGAATATACGTCGACTGTCTTGCATTCGTGTAGGGTTGCTGTTGCGAGTTTTGTTGCTGACCGGTGCTATATGGAGGATACGTCTGATCCGTACTCCTCCTAAATTCTTGCTGCTGCTGCTGCATAGGATTATAAACAGGGTTATTAAAATAATTTGGATATGTACCTTGATAGTTCGGTCGTCCCTGTTGAATTTGCCCTCTTGGCGGGCCTTGTCTGTACATGCCCTGCCCTTTAATTGCCATGATCGGACAATCCATCTCGACGTGGTCGAGGCGTGAGCAATGGGCGCATGACGACGCTTCTTGTAGAGCAACGGGTGCAAGTCCTTCAGATCCGTTGCGGATGTGGAACCGATCTAATAAAAGATTCTGAACCTCCGCCATCTTGTCAATCTTCACTAGGAGCATGCTCGTCTCTACCGCCTTTTCGTCGATTAATCCTCCTTTCGGCATTGCACCTCTTCTGAATGGTTTTGCCGAGTTGTGGTGGCTATTTTCCGCCACAGTCTCGATCAATTCCATTGCTTCATCTTCAAATTTGCTCATGAAGGTGCCGCCGCTAGCTGCATCCAAAAGATATCTATCTTACAGGCCTAACCCATCATAAAATATCTGTGTAAGCTCATGGTTAGACACTCCATGGTGAGGGCACTCTCTAGTGAGGTCTCTAAGTCTCTCCCAAGTTTCGTGAAATGTCTCACTTGGTCCTTGGGTAAACTCACGCATCGCCTTCCTAACAAAGGTGGTATTTCCTACGGAATAGTATTTCCTAAGAAATTCCTCCTCCATCTCGGTCCAAGAAGTGAACTCCTTTCCTAACTTAAGAAACCAATCCTTAGCTCTATCTCTAAGGGTGGTGGGAAAGAGTTTCATCTTCATTACATCTGCCGACACATTATGAATCTGATTAATCTCACATACTTGACTAAGCTCGTCGACATATCTATAAGGATCCTCGGAAGGTTTACCATGGAAGATAGGTAACATACTCATCACATGCGAGTCTATCCTAAAATTCGCATTTCTAGCTAAGGGTGCATGAATACGAGTAACGGGTCTTTGAAGAACAGGCCTAGCATAATCACTTAGGCGTCTCCTAACATTTCCCTCATCATTCAGGGCCATATCTAAGGTCGATGATGACGCGAAAGATGAAAGTGATTGCGAGGAACGTTCAAAAAGATCTAAGTGTGGTGGATTATCCCTCGTTCTCCAATCAGACTCTCGTCTCATAAATATGCACAAATATATATAGTATAATAATACTAAGAAGAGATACTATAAAATTATTCAACAAGGACAAATTTAATCGTACCTGATTGTCGCTATTCGTCAGAGTTACGCTCTCCCAATTCGAGTATGACGCGATGATTGTCCGTCGTCCGTAGAGAGGGACTAATCACTTAATCTCATCGAAATTGAGTATCTAAATGATATATTTCTGCTACAAATAGCTCAAGGATCAATTTGGATTAAAATCAAAAAATGAAACAGAAAAATCAGAGTTGACCGAGTCAAAATCGATGATTTTACTCGAAAATACGCCTTAATTCCCCGGCAACGGCGCCATTAGACGAGACTAAATCGTATGGTCGTTGAATGCACACGATTCAGTGTCAAAACAAAGTCCTAATCTTACCAATTTATTATTAATTAAAGTAATTAATTAGTATAATGGTAATTAAGGGTCGAATCCACGGAGAATTAGGGAAATTTGAGAGATATCTTTGAAATTCGGTCAAATCGGACGATGAAATTAGGTTGTAAATTGGGTAATTTAGTATATTGAGAAAGATAACTCAATTTCGAATCCACGGAGTCAAAAATCAGGTGATTTGGATGAGAATTCGAAGAGTAATCGAAGTTTGAAGTTAAGAGAAATTTTCGTATCGCGAAATGATTAAAAACAGAAATTAAAACTAAATTAAACTTAATCTACAATACTTAAAGTAAAATTAACACTAAATGATGAAAGATTAAGATGAAAAAAAACAATCTAACCTAAATTAGCCTTCTAAATGATCCAATTAATCGCCGGATGCAAGGCTTTTCATTCCGAATTTTCGAAGACGAAAGAGGAGTTCAAGACTTGATTTCTTCCAATTATTTCAATAAAACATTGAAATTAAACATCCAAAAGAAGCGGAAATGAGTTTCGAACACAATGAAAAAGATGGCGCGCGAATTGGAGCTCTAAACAAAGAGAATTTGAAGATTGATCGCGGGCCGTTCTTCCGTCGCGAAGAACGGATTTTATAAAATTCGTAAATGATCGTGGCCGTCCGATCTGATGGAGTTGATCGCGATGGACGATCGCGATGAGACGCCTCTTCACGAATCGTCGCGACGATTCGATGATCGTCCGATCGTGATCGTGCGGTTAAGATGTGATTGGATGTCCATCTGATGTGAATAATCTGGACCGTTATAACTCTCGATCAGACGGTCGCGATTTATTCACTTAAGTGAGTATTTAGGCACGTGGTTGATCTCTGATCGCGTGGACCAGATTCCACGTGATCTACGCACACTATTTGTCGCGATGTCGATCGGACGCACGAGATCACGCCACGCGTCCTGCACATAAGAAAACTAAGGGACTTTAGTCCCACACGGGAAAAACAAAGGAGTATATTCGGGTATATAAGATATGACGATTAAGAGGGATTAATACTTTGTCTTCCGATAATCGGAAGGCCTATATACTTTATTAAATAAATATATATAGTAAATATAAATACGCCATGTGTCACATCAATGCCACGCAGGCGCCCGCATGCTGTCCACGTGGCAGAGCCACGTGGCCCTGAGTACCACGTCGCATCCACGTGTACACGCGCGACATATAACCCCTTTTTGCGATTTTTTAATTAATTTAAAACATTTAAAAAAATCGAAAATAAATATAAATAAATTCAGAAAAATTCTAGAAAATTCTATAAAATTGTAAAAATCATAACTTTCAAAATACGACTCCAAATTAATTCAAATTTGTTTTGTTGGATTCAAAATTGAATAATCTATCATTAAAATAAGAAGAGAATAAATTTTAATTAATTTTATACATTTATTATTATATAAAATAAATTTATATAAATACATAAATGTTAATAAATATCTTTTCTCTCATATTTTCACTCTTAAAACATGATTATGATCATAAATATAATTAGGATTAAAGATTGTAATGTGTGATTATTTATAATAATCCATAATTTGGTGTATTTTAAGATCATAACATGAATTTACACAAAATGATAGAAATATACTTAAAATATAATAACATGCATATATTTGTAATGATTAATGCCTTAATTTGCATTAATAATTATATAATTACATGCATAAATAGCATGTTATCACCTGGGGTGTGCCGAAAACTTGCATAATTTACGTTCATTCAACACTTCGTTATAAACTTTGCCTTTTCTCCTCGGTGAATTTTAGAACTTAGCCACAGTGTGGGATGTGATGGAACCACGCAGGTTTTTCATAAGATCCAGTTTCTTACTGGGTCAGTTTTATGATACATTTCTCGAAACAAAGGCTGGGACTCGTCTCTCCCATTGGAATGAGAGCAAAAAGATGCTTCAATCGCGAGAACACACTACCCCTTAAGCTTGATGAACATGATGTTCTACCAGGGACTAGTTTAGCTGTATCATCTTGATATTTGGTAGTCAATTATGCCTCTACTTTATCATCTGATGTGTGAATCTATGATGAGTGCATGCTAACGAGCTGCTGTGCTGACTTGTGGGCCTCTCCCCGAATAATGCACCCGGCAGGGGAGGGAAAAGAGAGGCTTCTGATTTGCTGGCCGAATGTACTTATCAAACCTCGTCAGGGATTCCATACAGTGTACTCGGTCGACGGACTGAGGGGGCGAACCTGGCCGTAGAGGCTGAGAGGTAGCACAGAACGGTGGGAATGAGTGCTAGTGGCGGAAGCGGAATAAGGATGTGGGCAAAGAAATAGAGAAAGAGGGAGAGAGAGAAAGGGAGACGGAGATGGACTATAAGCATTGAAACCGCGGGGGGATTGGGGGGGGGAGGAGACGGACTTCCGACTATGCGAATGAGAGCGATAACTAAGGGAATAAGCAAGGAGTGTAGAGTGAAAGAGGGTGGGCACAGTGTTTGACATACCCCTATGCAGATACTCCACCCAATTCGTTACCTTGTGAAGTCATTCACAGACCAGATGCATAACAGAAAATTTACCAAGTCAGGCCGAACAATCTTGATGCTCATCTTTTCCGGTACGTATGGAACGTTTCCCTTCAACGTGATTCTGCCCCTTCCTCAGTTGACCTTCACTACCACTGGCGCCTGGATGACCCCTCTTCGAGTTCTGACTTCTCTTTTGTCACGGATGCTATTAAAACCCATAAGGAAGGGACCATAATTGCGTGGGTCCCACATCTCCGCTTCGTTTCCTCCGTCAGAAGTCGCTGTGTAATTATGAGGGCCAAGTGGCATCCTTAGGTGATGATAACTAGAGTGCTTCAATCCAAAGGCCCATGCTGGCGTTCCCGTGGATCATCGGACATTGAACAACAGCCTGCCTCGCCGCCAGTTTCGAAGATCATTTAACACTCCCGATTCCACTCACCCGGACGACCAAGCCAGAGCTTCTCATCCGTCCCCTGAGAACCCCTGCAAACCAAACGGCAACCTCTAGTTCATTGCATCCCACGGTCCCGCGTCAGGCTGTGAGGCCCACACGCTGAACCAGCCATCTCCCTTATCCGTCCCCCGCGAAGACCGCACTATATAAGTATCCCTCCCGCTCGCCTCCATCGCACCCATCACTTCACGTCATCAGCCAGCTCTCTTTCCTCCTCATCCCCAGGAGACGGGTCGTCACCTTCTCCTTCAGACACCGGTTGCTCCACCGATCCGCCCCGCTCGTAACCCCACCGCAGGTCCACGTTCCACCAATGGCGCAGCAGACCATCGAGGCCCACCGCCCCGGCGCGGAGATCTACACGGGCGACGACCTCTGCCGCCAGAAGGCCATCGACCTCCTCGAGGAACTCAACCTCCCCAGGGGCCTCCTCCCCATCGAGAACGTCGAGGAGATCGGCATCAACCGTCAGACCGGCTTCGTGTGGCTCCGCCAGAAGAAGGCCCTCAACTACACCTTCCGCAAGGCCGGCCGCCTCGTCTCCTACGGCGCCGAGGTCACGGGCTTCGTGGAGGACCGCCGCATGCGGCGGGTGACGGGGGTGAAGTCCAGGGAGATGCTCATCTGGATCCCGCTGGGAGAGTTCTTTGTGAACCCCAAGGACACCACCAAGATCACCTTCAGGACGCCCGCGGGACTCTCGAAGACCTACCCGGCCTCGGCCTTCGAGCTCGAGGAGCAGGGAACCCAGAGATTAACTGCGTAGTACGTACCCGGATTCGGTCGCTCTACATCTTCAAAATTGAATCTGTAGCCTGAGGCAACAAGATGGAATTTTCCATCGCGTTAAAGCTCACAATTCTTTTGATTTTCACAAGATCGCTGTGTTCCCAATTGTTGAGAATCTTGCCAAACGTTCGGGTGAAAATGTCTCCCTAATTTTTGAGGATCTTTCTGCTGATAATCGGCAGAAATTTCTTAGGAATAGAGAAAATGGTGAACAAATGGACGAAGACAACCAGAAATGTCGGCTGGAGATATAGCCAGAATATGATGTCCTGTCACATTGTGAAGGGGGAGAATTATCGTTTGACCCACGTACGCAAACTAAGCCACCTAAATGCTACGAGCTCGACACAAGCGACCAAACATCAAGTCTTCTGAGCGATTATCGCTTTTGAATACCGTGAATCAATGATTTATATTTACAATTGAAGTTCACATCTCTGCCTTGACGACACCTACACTATACAACTACAACCAACCGACTTTAACCCATTGTTGTCCGCCGAGCATTGTTGCGTAAAGTGAATGAACTCACTTTATATGCAGAAGACGGGCATGCAACAAATGTTGACCGTCCGAGATAAAACACAAAAGGAACAAAGTGCTAGAGCACTTGTAATTTAAGTATGGGGCATCTCGTGATTAAGCATTGGCCGTGGGACAACCATTCTCACGTTCGTAATACTCATAGGTTGGTTGGAAGCCTCTAG